GCGTGGACTCACGGGCATGAAGCTTCAAAATCAGAAGCTCGAAAGCCTTCGGGACCCCCAAGCGTTGAATGTTGGGGGTTCTGGAGGTGGTTGTTACAAGGTAAGAAGCAAAAACCGCGAGCATTGATGCGTTGACATAAGTCTGAGCAAGGAGGCATCGCAGCAGTAGCAGCAGCAGTAGTGGCAGCAGCAGCAGCAGCAACAACAAGCAACAACAACAACAGCAACAACAGCAACAACAATTTGCAATTGGACGCTGTGAGTGCTCCGGAAGCAGCCCCATCCGCTGTTTTCGCCACAACAGCNNGCAAGCTGAAGTGACTCTCTCCACCGCGCAAAAGGTGGAAACCCTACCGCCTGCCCAGTAGACAATGCCGTGGACAGCAACTGGGTAGAGGAATTGGGGCTTGGCAGATCAGACCAGTTCAACACACCATGTGGCACATGGCTCGACAATTGGGACCAACCTTTAAAGTTAGGAATGCACCCGGTTGGGGCTTCTAGAACAGAAGTTGGAGCCCAGTGCCTGTTCGAAAACCCCCCCTAACCTTGCGGCCGTTTGATCCGTGGTGGCTACAACAACAACAATAACACCAACAAGCATGAACAGCACCACCGACAGAAGTAGTGACAGTCTTGATGATCATAACAGCGCCGAGCATGGCAGCAATCAACAGATGGATGTGCTAGCAATGACGACGGAAAGCGACATCAACATGCTCGTCATCAGAATCAGCACTCGTTGAAGTCTCATCATGTGCGGCCTTGGAGCTCCAAGGGTACCCTTGGGCAAATTTATGGAGGAGCTCAGGGCTCTCAGTCGCTTCGGCTCCTGGAAAGCATGAAGCACTGGTCCACGGACCTTCAGTCTCGTGCTTGCTTTTGTGTCAGGACTATCAGTTCGGGTGTAGGGTTTAAGATTTAGTAGGTTTCTCAGGCCTAAAGCAGTCAATCGCGACAAACCCTGGAGAGCCAAAACAACAGTTGCTGACGGACGTTCTTAGCCTTTTCTGTTTCGGAGGCGCCGGTCGTGGAGGAGAAGTTCAGTCGGCCTATGTCCTCGCTGTGGCATGTCCCTCAGTTGGTCCCGAACCCTGCTGCCTGCTCCCACTCATGATCTTGTAGCTTTACAGATCAAAGAGTGCCACGTGCAGAGTATACATGTCTTGACAGGGTAGATGCTGGAGCTTTCGCAAAGGCAGCAGATTTGAGGCACTTTTGACCTGAACCTTCAATCCAAGAATGCAGGATCTGAAGCTCTGTGCAGTCCGGCTTCGCAGCCGCCTGCAGCGAAAATCCGCACACCCCCCAAGGCCTACATTCCGCCAACAACCCTTCGGTTCATCAGAGTTTTGAACCCTCAGAGCTCAGGCCAGAGGGCAAAGATGGCCGGGATCCGCAGACGGCTCGGATCTCAGCGATTCCCGGACTTGCAGCATGAGAGTTTGTGTCGCATTCAGAAGGCGAGTGGGGATGGCGATGGTTTTTTCAAAAAGATGTTTTTGGCAGCAGGTCTTCTCACTGTCAAATTTAGGGTGAGAAGGGGCCTTCTCCATCCAGGATTTGTCGAGGTTCTGTGCAGTCATCACGCAGAATAATGCCAGAATCCCAACAGAGTAGGTCGGGGTGAGGTTCAAACAACTGCGGTCCGGTGCAGTTTTGCTACTGTAGCTATACATGTCATTTGCACATCGGGCTTTCGGTGCGACATCCGAAGGGTTGCCTCTGAAGGCAAGTTCCGATTTGCCTTCGAGCAAGAGCAAAGGGGTGCACTACACGGGATGCCTCCATGTTTTTGCACCCAAAAGTAAACCAAGCAATGTTTCATGTGGCGAGGACTGGGAGAGATCGCCCAGGTCGTGGCGCTGCCCATCGACTGCACTGCAGATCTTGCAGTGAGTCGACATACGTGGGTGACGATGCCAGCCGGAACCCCAAGAATTGGAGATCTGAACCACGCCCCCCTGAACTGGCTCCGTGTGTGCTGTAAAACACTTCTACATACACTCTGAGCAATGCGGCCAAAACCATGGTTTTTTCTCCGTGATTGCGAAGGTCTTTTTGCACATGTCAAAGCTGCTCTTCATCAGCGATGTTTAGGATTTCGGAGGAGAGCTTGAACCTGAGGGTAGAAGTTGCCCCGCCCGCTGCCGAAGCGAGCATGAGAGACAATCAAGAACCTTAAATCATACAGTGCTTCCTCTCCCTCTTGGGCTCAGGGCCTGGAGTGAAGGTTGTGAGTTACGCATTCATGTGGGTCGAGTACTACGAATTATGGACTCGGATAGTGTTGACTTATTGTGACCTTGGGACTACCTCTGGGGATTGAACGTGTAGTTTGGTGTATCGTGGCAAAGACCATAACAAGGCTTTCTGGCCGAGTCAGGCTTGATTTCGAGTAATGCTCGCGCTGCTGTTCCGGCTCGAACTGCTGACAGGGTAAGACCCGGCATCTCAAGTACTCTGCAAGCACCCTCTTCGCGAGTGCCTGGACCATACTCCGCATGGGCCTGAGTTCTGTGTGTGCGAGAGTGTCTGTTTTAAAGCTTTGTGGGACCGAGACCTGTTCAGGGAACCTTCTCCGCAGCGATCTTGAATTACCTGGGGCGGACCTAGGGCCTACAGAGCCTCACGGCTCGCGGATCCTCCAAGAAGCAGGCTCCCAGATCCAAACTTGTTGAAGACCTGAAGATGCGAGTCTAGTGCCTAAGCCGACCATGCACGGTTTATCTATGCACAGGGATATGCTCAAAGCATGTCGGGATGTTTCATTTGGTTCTGACATGTCCGCAGTTGTTCAGAAGCTCCCGAAACTGAGGGCCTCGGTCTCGGCCTAGACCCGCCTGCACCGCCTTGAAACATGTCGTGCCCCTCAGGTCATGGCAACCGCAAGGCCGGAGTGAGTTTTGCTTTCTTGGCGAGATTTAGATAGCATCTGGTCTGGTAGATATTCGAACAGAAAGAACAGCAGCAACTACAGAATTCTTTGAGGCTCAGTCGAAGTCTTCGGATATCTTCAGGGAAACCTTCTGCGCGTGCAAAGATGTGCCCAGTCTTCAGTTGTCTACCGCAAGGGTTCAAAGTTCAAAGTGCCAGTCACGTACTCCGGCACCCGGCAACCGCCATCTACAGAAACACCCTGGACACCCCCAGGCCCTCAGGGGCCAAGATTAACGGCTCGCTTGAAGCCATCCAATGGTCCGTTACCTTCAAACTTGTGTAAGTCTATTGCATCACCGTGAAGACGGCTTCACGCACGAGGAAGCTGCAACACGGCAAAGTAGAACAGAAACCTGTGCAGCTCAACATCCCTCCAGCAAGGAATTTGACTTGGGAGCCATCCTCTCTCAGCCGATGTTTCAGGGGTTGAGGTCAGGCCGAGGCTGGAAAGCGAAGGTGCAAAGCCTAAAAGGGCGAAGCCGTGAAGGGCCTGGAGTGAGCTAAGGCACAAGCCTTAGCATGACAGCTTCCAGCGAAGACCCGGCTGTTTTCAATTCAACAAACGCCCAATCATACGCGCGCCTCCAAGGCCCAAGCGGGCCGTATCCACACTTAAAGTGCCAGGCCGCTCGTGTCCGTCTTCAACTTTGAGAACCCTTCCGAAAAGGCACTCCCAGAGTTCGTGCTCTGGGAAGTGCTGAGTCCATCTGGAGCTTGGCAATTGTACTAGTATTGAAATAGGTAAGAGTGGCGATCGCTTGTTGTTTGTTTAGATGGTTGGCAGGAATCGCTGTGATGGGCTTAAGGCTCAAGCCTGGGGTTGCATTTATGCTTGTTGGGGATGGGGGAGATTATGCGAAACTACTTTCTGGAGCCTCGATTTGGTTTAGTCATGTGGTGTGAACATGGTGGTAGTGACTGGGGTTCTTCAAGGTGAGAGAGTTCTTTGAACCCATGTGGCTTCTCCTTTTCCCTGTCAGCCCCCAGTTCAACACCCCCGAGACGTAGCTAGACGTATCAGTCGATCCTGCAGTTCTCCCGAACCTCCTTATTTCACCTTTCCAATGTAAAATGGTCCGGACAGGCGGGCACCGTCGTGATGCCCCATGTGCTGACGCTTGCTCTGTTTCAGATCTTTTCAGAAAGGCTGCAAGAAATTGATTGTCCAGACCCTCAAGCCCGAACGCCTCCGAGCCCTCCAATTGCCAATCGACAAGTTTCGAGTTCAGGACAAGGATTTTGAAGCCTCGGATTGCTGCTGACTCGGGTTCAGGGACTCGCAAACTCTTCTGCAGGTTCCAGGATTGAGGCTTGCATTTCATGCGGTCAGGTCGCGGGCTCAAGGTCCCGCGCCCTCCTCCCACGTGTCTTCAGATCTTTAATGTTCAGGTTTGAGCCCTTAAGCTTCAAGCCCATAGACTCCATAGACGCCCTTTTCGGAGCCGATCCCATGTAAACCGGCATCTCCCGCAGATATGCTGCAAGTCATGTTGCATATTCGGCTCAGGACCTCCCCATTGCGGCCTGACCTGGTCCGAGAGGCTTCAGCGGGATCTTTGCAGGGTGTGCTGCTTTGCAATCCCCTTGTTCGGACTGGTTCGTAGATTCAGCGGGGTTCAACTCGGCTTCTGTCGATGTTAGAATGTTAGAGACCTTCCTAATCTGCGATGTCAAAGCCTCGAAGAATCCTCCATGCTCTGCACCACTATTCTGACACGAGAATAGGCTCGGTGTGTTACTCGGAGTTGGTATCGGCATAGGTTTGCCGAACAACGGTATACAAGCCGTGGCTCCCTTCAGGTGGAAAGGGTTTTGGCAGTTTTGGAATGAAACATCTTCCTTTCATGCTTGGTATCACGTTGGCCCCGCTGTTGTGCTATTCCTCCTTTTGCTTGAAGCTTTGGGGTCGATTGGATGGAAAAGGTGTTGCGAATCTGTCAGAGCGGAGCCTTCAGAAATTCATAGAGGAATACTGCGTCAGAGCTAAAGCTCGCTCAGCAAGAGCCCGAACTCCAAGTTGCACGTTGAACCGTACCTTAAGCTGCGAGGTCCACCGCGACATGGCAAAGAACAAGCGTCAGGCATATGCCGTCAGCGCTAAGGCCGGATTGGTGTAGAACTGTGGGTGGCAAGGGGTAGGTCCAGCCTGTGGCTTCTAAAGTTAGTGCTGAACCCCAACCACGAGCCCAACCCACAATTTAGTTTTCTTGTTCGTTGGTGGAGGGGTCCTGCAAGCGCGCCGCGTCGAAAGTTTTCGAAGCTCATTTTGTGAGATGTCTAGCTGGAGGTGCAAGATTTCGCAATAGAGGTTCCAGGTTTGCAGGTCAGGTCCAGCACCGGCGCTCCAAATTGTAGGTTTGGGAATCAGAAGTTGAGGTGGCTGGAAGCCCAGTCCCTCTTTGACACGCTCAATTTTCGAAACTCGAGGTCCCAGGCTCCTTGTGGTTTGTGACCTGCTATGAACTCTGAAACGTTGATCCCTTACCATGGGCACATAGCGCGGTCCCGACAGGCGGGCTACGACACCGCCGCCGAGTCTTGGTGCACCGGCCGTGCTGTTGCACGTATCTCGTCAACATGAAGCGAAGACTTTGCTCCAATCGAAGGAGATAGATCGATGCTCGAGTCAGCTCGGGGGGTAGATATTGTCATTGACTCATTGACTAATCTTAGAAGACGTACCAGACCCGAATGAAAGCAGTAGAAACGGGAGAGTTAAACGGCCACAACTGCTTAGTTGGGTTCACTTCAAAAAGGAGTGTTGAAACTTCTTCGTATGGCCGCACTCCAGTGGCTGTAGAGGGCTTCATGGATTGCAAGACCCAGGCTCAGGGTAGGGTTACAGATTTTGGGAGCAATCCATGCCTTCGGAGTCCAATGTAGTAGGGGATGGAAGCCTTACGCAGCTTCAGAGGATGATGGCTTGTTGATTTCAAGGCCGTGCTTCAAGCTTGCTGGCCTCAGCAAGTTTATCTTGAGTGTTGAGTTTTGGAAAATTGCGATGTGAATTAAGCTGAGAGTTTTGTGAGGCTTGATAAGCAGTAGGAAGTGATGATGACTTGCGCTATTGACGACTGGTTTCGGTACGACCTTGGTGCTGAACCCTCGAAAAGCCGCACAGGTATCCCTCGTGCCCCTGGTGGCGGCACTCATCGCGCAGGCCAGGCGGCTTTTGGCAACCAGGCGCTCTCACCGGGAGACCCAACGTGCTGTGGCTGATCCCGAGGTCAGAGCAGGTTTCCCTTTAGGAACTTCCTTGATACAAAAAGTCAGAGCATCTGTCAGCTTCTACCAAATCCTCTGGAGCCACGGCCAGAGGATGAAGTCAGCAAGCTCTAGACCGGCTTGAGCTTGCGGGTGAACTATATTGCAATCCATGGATCACGACGGTTTCGATGTAAGTTTACGTCCAGGCACATCGGGGTTTGCGCGGCATTAGCTTGGGCGCTCTGAGTCCGTTGCTGAAACAAACGTTCTTGGGTAGTAGGGGTTCTCTAGTGGGCTGGAACAGTACGCAACTCTGAGCCAGGTGTGACTGTAGTCTCAGGATTGTCTGTTGTGCAGCTTACACGCAGCGGAAAGATGCCAAACCTAAGCCAAACACTTTGCGCCATTCATCCTAACAGGCCCGTGGCGGCGGCATGTTCAACCCGACACGCATCTGGCGCCGCTGGCACCGCCGAGCGACGTGGGTCGGATAATAGTTGTGCTCCAGGTACCGAAGCTGTATTCCTGGGCTTAATAAATGATTCATTCCTTTTGGACATATGGTTTCCAAAAGGTCGCATCAAAGAGCAACTCACGCGCTTCATAGACCGTCTATGAAGTCGCATCACAGAGCAAGTTACAGGTTTCATAGAGCGTCTATAAAAATGCCAGACAAGGCGTGATCTAAACTTCCATTACACTCTGACCTCCACCCCTCCAGCTGCACTTTAATAGAAACGCTGCACCCCGAAGGTATCCAGACGCTAAGGCCAAGGGTTACCAGGCGCCGGTCCAGGACACGCTAACTGAAACAACCATCGTGCCGATTCCCAAATTCCCACCCCCGAGCCCTAGCTGCCCTGGCACCCAATAACACAAAACGCCAACAAAGCCAGCAAACCTTTGGGACATCATCATTCAAGGTGAACGTGACCAAGAAGCGTCACGCCGTGGCCGTTGCCCTGGCAGCCTCCAGCCTGCCCCCACTGGTGTCTCAGCAGCACTTTGCATGCCCACAAACAACACCCCATTCTTTCGCTGGAGCGCCAGAGTGTCCGCCGATGCTGGAGAGAACACAGAGCGAAAAACCATGCAAGTCCAGAAACACTGAGCCTGATACAATCCCCTGCGCGCGATACGGGGTAGAGTCAGTTGAGAACATGGCGCGCTAGCAACCTGGTTCACTCATGTTAAATCTTATTATTCAATCGTCATGCGCAGTAGCCGGCATGCAGACCTGACGTGGACTGGATGCGATACTGGCGTGGTCGAGGATGAGAAGCCCTTGTGTGGTCTGCAAGTTCAGTCCTGCTAGCATGGGTTGTGCTGCCACGCTGCAGATACTTGTGTAGGTCCCGGGGGTGGTCGGTTCAGCCGACACATGACGTCCCCCATCCTGTGGGGAATATCTCGCAGGTTGACAAGCTTGCGATCCTTGGAGCTCACTAGAACACGAAGCTAAGGTCTCACACAAATAGCCAACCCCAATCTGCTCCCGGCAGCACGGAATCGGCGGCAACAAGCAGCAAGTTCTGCCAAAATCCCAAAGTGCCTTGGCCTTTGAAGCCTCGAGGTCATGGCCCGCGGCCACAGGATCGGAAAGGCCGCCGAGCTCAATATGAGAGATAGAGGAGGGAGGGAGAGAGAGAGAGATACAGAGAGCGAGAGTGCGAGAGCGAGACACAGAGAGCCCTGTGATAGCCAAGGAAGTCCTAATCTCAGGCTGGTGCTTCACTGTTCTATTATGACGTCATCACATCGCTTTTATTGTTCATTATACTTCATCATCCTTACGAATGCTACTCGTAACATCCGCCAGCTCCGCAGTCGAAATGAAGAAGCAGCCACGGCTGATACCGCTCCCAGCGTCTTGTTCACGTCGCTCATCTTCCAGTTCCAGAATGCAGCATCTAAGGAAGTGTATATGCTTAAGGGTAACCCAAGAGCTCCTTCATCTTTGGAATGACATGTACACTACCAGCGGGTTTAAAGCGCCGTCCATTTTGACCTTCGTGCTCCAGCATATAGACCAGGATCATGCGCCGACGTCATTGAAGTTCAAGCTCCGAGACAAACGCTTCACTTAAAAGTTGTTGTCGTGCCGTCCTCTTTAAGGTCGCTGAGCTGCCTCTTGTGGTCAGTGACGGCCACTCGGCTGGCTTGGAATTCAGCCATTCAGACTTCTGTCGCTGTCGCTTTTGAGGTTGGGACGGGCTATCTTTTTGTATTTAAGTCTTCTGGCTCTGCAAGGGCTGAGGCTGGGGGGGTGAGCCGTGGGTTTGGAGTACTGCGTCTCTGAACCCCAATAAGTAGCTTGTGGTTGAAGTCATGTTCCGGGGTCCCCATTGCCTCCTGACCCAGTCCAGGCCTGGAGTCCGTGACGAAGACCAAGCAGGCGTGCCGAGTTATTAGTGTTGGCCAATTGGGCTTTGAAGTCTTGGACCTGCAGAAGCGGTCCGCAAACTTGGTTCAACATACAGGAATCGAGGAACTTCATCCCGGGTGCGGCTGGCTGTGGGTTCAGGTCGTGTGTCGGTTCAGCTTGCGTGCGAAGACTTTGCAAAACCTGCCCCCGACCTGCGCCCCTCGAAATCCCAACCGGTGTCGAACAGCAAAGCGCAATCCGAACCCAGATATCTAAATCTCCATGTCCCGAGAGCCCTATAAACCCTAAACCTAAACTGAACGCCAAAATCCACGAAGGCCGTTGAGTCCCTGAAGAAGCTCGGTTGCGGCGAGGAGCTCCAGAAGGTCTCGGGGCTTCTTAGGTCTCACTGTAAGGGGTTTTTGTCCGAGGACCTTGCTGGTGCTGCGGAAAGTGTGGGATACTGTGTCTGCGTGGGTGGGCGTGTGGGATGCTCGGCGTCCTTCAGACGGAGAGCCTGAGCTCCAATCCCTCCTGCGGCAATGCAGCGCTTGAAAGCCTCCTTGCCGGGTGGCAGGTCCTGGACTCCAAGAAGATTCGTGCCGGCCGCTGGGTTGCAGAAATGCCAGGGAGGGGAGTATTCTGGTCGAAGAGCTAGTGGTTGAGGGTTTAGCGTGCTACGTTTTCGTGTTTCGCGGTTGCGACCTTCCTGTTTGGAAGCATGAATGGCAAGTTCAGGTGATCATCGAGTTTCATTCATGTTCTCGTCCTTACATCGCTGCTCTCTTGATACATCTCAGGCAAGGGCAAGGCCAGGAATCGCCGCTTTGTGCGCCGATTGGGACCCCTGGTCATCTACAACGAGGACAGGCAGAAGTCCTTTTGCCCTGCAAACGTGTTGCTAAAAGCATCAATCTTGTGGTCTTCCGAGTGTTCTCTCTGCAAGTCATTCGTCAGCCGTTTTCGTAGCATGGGAAAAACCAAGTGTCTTCTGCATGACCTGATGTTATGATTCGGAGGACAACGGCATCGTCCGTGCCATGCGCAACGTCCCGGGTGTGGAGACGGCCCATGTAGACTGTCAGCATTGAGAAGCTGTTTCGATTGTTGTCTTGCATTCCGCATTCGAACTATTCCAGCATCCCCATAACATGTAACAGCCTAGAACTCCAGGGCTCGGGGTGACGGCAGCATCCTGACTCAGATTTTTGCAAATGCCGGCTGTTTTCAATGGCCTCTCTAGGTGGATCGCCTGAACCTGCTGCGTTTGGCTCCAGGCCGGAGCTGTGACGAAGCAGACAGGGCGACAGGGTTTAGGGGTCGCTGCCCAATTTCAAGACTGACCGTGTCTAAAGGCTCGGAGCTTTGTTCGAGGGTCTCCACGACAGCCCTCCACTTCTTCCTGAGGCTTCGGCGTGTTCGATCCCAGAATGGAGCCCAGCATTACAATGGACCTCTGAAGCGCCCGAAAAGCAAGCCGAGAAGCCGCTGTGAAGGCGGCGCCTTCGGCCGCTTCCTGATCTTCACCGAGAGCGCCTTCAAGAGGCCAGGGCCTGGGCGTGGGCGGGGGTTTTAGCGTTTTGAGGCTCTCGAGTTCGGAAAAAGGAGTGGCTTGGGGTTCAACGCTTGGGGTGATTGGGGTAAAGGATGTTGAAATTGAGTATCAGGGGGCTTAGGCTTCCAGAAGCGTAGACTCCACCCTGGGTTTGCTGCCTCAAGAGCTGTCCCTGCCCAAGGTGTTGGCAGAGCTGCGAGGGCTTGCAGAATAGCGAAGGAAAGCTAGTTCAGCGCCCGAGACCCGAATTCCTGTGCACCATCCTGGTTCGGGGTAGGGAATTGGGTTTAGCACAAGCACTCCGTATTGCGTCTGGAACCTGTGAAGCCCCTGAGATTCGTAGCCCCGCAGAACGGAAGACTCTGAAGTGTTGAGGGCGTGTCCCCTAATCTCAGCTCGAAAGCCTTCACCGGGCAGAACTGCAAAACCAGGCTCTCCGCCATCTACGGCACCCGGAAGGGCGGCGCGCCAATGAAGCTGCTTGGCGTCAGACCGAAACGCTGGGAAACCTCAGGTGTGTGAAGCGTGCTTCGGCACAGCGATTCTTCAGGGCAGTCGCGCGCTGCCACTCTCTTCTCAGGAAGGGCTACACCCTGCCGCGGGCTGCCATGGCTAACGCGGACTTGGCGCGAATCATCAACAGTACCGAGGTGGGTTTGACGGAATATCACAAAATGGTTGTGGTGGTGCAGGGGGGTTCGGTGTGCCTAGGCGCTTGGCGTTGGTGTTTTAGCACGAGGATGGTCTGTGAAAGTCCGATACGTCCTGAAAGTCGACAAGAGGTTTTTGTTTATCATTTCCAGCCGACATGTTGTGTAACCCCTGTCAGAAGGTCTGAGACAGAATATTCACACAGGGTTCTCAGTCGTTTTGGGCATTGCAGAGTTTGCTTGCTGTGCTGGATGACAGGTGCAGTCCGTCCTCCGCCCGAAGATCGAGCCCCCCACATTCAGCAAGAAGAGGCACAGTTGGGGGTTTGCGTTTAGGTGCTTGGGTTTATTGGAATTTCTGGTCAAAGGAGTCAAAGGTAAAGTTTTAAGTTGTCGTTGTCTTTCCGGAAAGGCCTTATAGCAGCCTTCTCCACGTCCCTCGCTCTACAACTGTCCTCAACAACTGCCCGAAACTGATCTGGAGCTTGTTGTTATCCTGCAGAGTTAGACAACCCTGCCTGCTTCGGTCGGCGACGTGTTTGAAGCTCGGGGAAATCACCCTCATGCAACGAGCTCGCTCTTTAAGCCCGTCCAGGAATGCCCTGAAGTCCAAGGAGGTCATGGAGGAGCTGAACCCAGGTCGGCTTTGCAGGAGCTAAAGGGTTTCGCTTCGGGAGGTCTCAAGCTTCGATTCGAAAAACCCGAAGCTCTGGCCCGGCCAGGCTCCACGGAGCGGAAGGCGAAGGCCGGCAAGAGCTGCCTGGCGTTGGACTTTGGCGTATGGCGATTTTTTGGGGGAAAGGCAGCACTACATGCAGCACTTCGCCGTACTTCGCCGCTCTTCGAATGTGTTGTCGTGATCTGTCGTGCGAGTGGCGGAGGCTCGAATTTGACCATCGGGTGCTAAGGTTTTGTGGAGTTCCCATGGGCCTCTAAAGGATTGGTCCACAGACAGAAACACAATTCGCCTGCAGCCGAGGCTCCGAGAAGGGCACCGCGGAATTCAACGAGGCCAGGCCAAGCATTCAAAGGGGGCCTCAAAGCGGGGGAGGTGTGTGGCGTCTTGTCGTCTTCAGGAGACATGTTCAGGGCATACCGGGGGCTATGGCTTTACAGGGATGGCTGTCGGATACTCTGCAGAGGGTTCGTGTCGAGCTGGTGGTACTTGCAACTCCAGTGTCAGTCCGGCCTTTCTCTGTCGAGATTTACGTGCAGGCTGTCCGTCCTTCTTGGGTGCCAGGCTCCAGATCAAAATGATGAGGGCCCGACAATGAACACAAGAAAGGATTCCCCAAGCGTGTAGGACCGCACCCTAGGCCATGTAGTAGTTAGTAGATGACGTCTTGGCACCCGGTTCAAGGCTTTAGGGCCTTTGCCTGAAAAGGTGCAGAAGCAGAAGAAGGCCCGCATTGAAGAGTCGAAGAAGTACAACAAGACGAACAAGAAGGGCTCTTGCCTCAGATGCGAAGTCCGAGACTGCGGCGCCTTAGGGTTTAAGAGCCCTCAGAGTTCAAAGTTCCGCAAGTTGTGGCCTGAATACTTTTGGACACAGGATTTGTTCTTGTTGTTATTCCAAGTTGCGAGGTTACGGCATGTCCCGAGATGAGGTTGTAACTAGCAGGGAAGTCGTGGGACAAGCAGTTACACTGTTACACGGCCTCGCAAATCTCCTTGTAGACTGTGGACGCCAGGGCTCCGAGCACAGGGTTTGCGGTGGGATTCAGATCCTTCAGAGGTCGGATGATGTTCATGTCATTTGGGCTTGGATCAATAATAGTATTGCAGACCTCGTGTGAGAACTTTGCAGTTGTCTGGAGCTCGAATGTGCTTAGCACTTGATTTTCGATTGCCCAGGTGATGAGACTTTCTACAAGACCCTCATGAAGGCGTTCGAAGCCCGCGCAGCGGCTGATGCTGCCAAGAAGGCCTCGCGGGGTTGTGTTGCGATTGCGACTGGCCGGCCCAAGAGGACCTGGGCCAGACCTGGGAATGTGGTACCGGGCAGCAACAGCCGGCCTGTCTTTCTAGGGCAAACACTAAAGCGGCAAGCTTCAGAGAGGCTCTACCGACGCTTTAAAGCTTTTGACAATACGTTGCCATGCTGAGACGCCTGGCCAAGTTCGATGCATTCATCTAGCTGCTCACCCTGCGCTCTCAATCTTGGGCACACTACGCTGCGCAGCATCTCCGCCCCATGCCTGCACAGCTCTTTTAGGCCGCCGACAAGAAGGAGGCCGAGGGCGGCGAGGATTGCTCTCGGGTGGCCTGCACGTGGGCTAGATCTTGCTCGTTTCGGGGTTCGATGATGCGCGGTATCGGTAGTTTGATATCGATGATGGGGGTGCGGGTGCTTCAGGAAACTGGGAGCTTGTTGTTTTCTGTTGCACGGAAGATTTCGGCTCGATGCTTGAAGGCTACTGTGTGCGGCTCGGGTCTGAGGAATTGGGATCTCAGACAAGCTTTCCGGAGTGATGATATGTGCAGAGGCCTGCGCCATCGTTTGGCGTGAGCATCGCTCAGCCTTTGCTTGAGAGACTCATAGACTGAAAGCCTTGACAGCGAGACCCGATAATGACTCTGAGAGTATGAGAATCCCCCAAACAGCACTGGAAGACATGATCGCAAAGTTTCAGAGCCTCGTCCTGCCCCGAGTATGGGGGTTCGTTTCATGCTTGGGTGTGTGGGTCGCTTCCGAAACTTAAGAACAGCGACCCTTCCAGTCTTAACCGCAGGATGACGACGAGTGAGCAGCTTCGGCGCTGTGCGGTTGAAGTTCAGACGGGTCGAGGATTTGCCGGAGAAAGAGCTGCTGCTGTTCGCTTCAAGCTCCAGGTTTTGCTGGGTGGTGGGGAGGGATGGGGGGCGGGGGTGGTGGGACGATGGTTCGATCTCTGCGTGTTGAGGTCCCCGGGATTAGGACGCCGAGTTTTTCAGGATGTCAAGGTCAGCTGCCCTGCAAAGCTGCTGCTAACTGTTGAATTCCCATCGGGTGGGCGAGGTAAAGGAAGCTGATTCTGAAGCTGACTGCATAATCTTCGAGCCGGCCAACTTGTGAAGCAGAGCGTGCCGAAGAGGTTTCGCTGGCAGGACATGGACCTGAAACTTCCTTCCACCACCGCTGCCTTTCTTAGAATGTAGCTCCCAACCACACGAGCTATTACAGGTTGGAAAGCACTCCAACTACCCAATCTGACTTCCTGAAGCCCGGTGTCCTAGAGCTGTGCCGCCACCCAGGTCTTGCCTCCGGGCGCCGAGATGCATGGTCCGCCAATTCCGCCAGGACATAGGCCTGTTGGGCTTCGGGCTCATCGGCTCTGTAGGTATCTTCAATCCTCGGGGACCCTTCTTAAACCAACTTCTGGCTTTGTTATAAGGGACCTTATTGAGAGAGTCTGTGGTCCCCCTAATCCCAACCCCCAGTCAAGGTATTTTTCAAATCCACAAACCCCGAACTCATTCTCTATTTATCGATGCGCGGAGACAGAGAGGGAGTGGGACGGGGAGGGAGGGAGGGAGAGAGAGAGTGAGAGGGGAGCCCACAAGAAGCGGCCGACGGACGAAACAGCAACGGAGAGCAACGGGAAGCAACCAACCCCCGGTACGACGGGGGCGCGCCGCTTTTTCTCTTGATAAGAACAGGGTGCCGAGTCTCACCTCTGCTTCAGCCGCAAGGTCAAGAGGGAATGACCCATGATGACACGCTTGTTGCACTCTTGTCTAGGGCCCTTCTCCTGTTAACTTTGATTGGCGCGAAGTCCCTTACCTTTCTTTCCGACCAAGTACTCTCCCGCTATACAAACAATATTGCCGAGGCCCAATTCTGTGATGAACTATGTCGGTTCGTGCTATTTGTAAATGTTGTCTTTTGCTGCCGTATGAGTGCCCAGCCCGAACATTTTACCATGCTGATCGCGTATCGCTGTGCCATGTTGCAAAACAGTCACTGGGCGGGAAAACACAGCTAATCACGCTGGCAGGGGTATGCCCCTTGAGTAGAGCCGTTTGAGAGGCCATATGTCATTTTGCTATCTTTACCTCGGTCTGATAGTCAACCTTCCTTGTTGTGGCCCACGGCTTTACTACAGTGCAAGCACCTCTCCAAAGCAGAGAAACCACCGGAAACGGGACTTTGCGTTTGGTTTGCTTTCTACCTTCAGTTTGACAGTCGTTCAGCAGAAGTCCCAGCCTTCATGGGGAGCGTCAAATTCACTCTTCGCCCCACACGCTAACACAAGCGGTGAGAGGGGACCACCCTCTCACCCTAGCCATGCGAAGGAAAGAGAGATCTGAGGAAGAGCGAGTTGGAGAGAGAGAGAGAGAGAGAGACAGAGAGAGAGAGAGAGAGAGACCGAGCACACATGTACGATGCAATGAACCACTGAACCACTTGTGCAAAGGGCGATCGAAGGATTCAGCGGAAGTCTCTGCGGTGTGCAGTAGGAATCTCGAAGCACGATGGAGACACAAAGCTCGAAGCCATGACGGATCCCGGAGCCAAGCAACTGCAACCTCTTATTCATCGCCATAGTATCGCCATACCATTCTCCAAGTTCCCGAACATGGAACGCCTGAAGTCTCCAGAAGTGTCCGAAGCCTTCTGGGAACTCGGAGTGAGCGAAAGGCCACCGTTCGACTATGGCGACGCCCTCGACCTCCGGAGAGCCTAAGAGCGGTAGGGCCAGAGCGCTTGCTTGGTTTCGGGTAAACCGCATTTCGAGATCCCAACCAAGCAATGAGACCGGAGATAGACCGAGCATGACGGAGCGTCTGCAAAGCCCAAGCGGACGCTGAGGTAGGCGTTAAATGCTCACAGGTTGCCGATTCTATGTTGAGCTCGAACCCGCAACCCTTCCCCTTCTCAAAGAAGGTGGTCACCGGAGCGGCAAGATGTCACAATCCAACAAAGCCTGAAGCAGTGACTACTTTGTTTCCAGTGACAGACACATCGAGTGTGTTCGGCTTCAATACCGGTTTCGAGGATCAGGCAAGTGGAGTGGTTGGTTCACGAACCGGATGTTGTTCAGTATTCGAGCATTGCTTTGCAGGCCCATGAAAACCAATGTTGAACCCGGAGACATGATGCAAGCATGTTGGAAGGTCCGGGGCCACCCCCGCATTTTGATGGCAGAGGGCTCTCGGCTCAGCTCTCCGCTGGACTAGCAGCCTTGAGCCCTCTCCCCTGAGCTCGAAACCCTGATTCGGATGTTCGTTGGCTTTTGAACAGCCATTCAGATTGTTGAGATCTCTGGGTGAGATGGGACGAGGCCATGACCCCCGTGAATGTCCCCGAACGAAGGCCTTCTCAGACCAGTACCCATCCGCCATGAACAGCTTCATACCATCGCGTATCCCCGCAGTTCGCCCGTGAGCCATTCAGGCTGCGGCACACTCCGAAGGACTTCTCAGATAAGCCTGAGAGAAACCATGCAGCATCTGCAAAACCTCCCAGCGCTCCCTCCCAAAACTTTGACGCATGAACTTCATGAACTCTGCAGCCTGAATCAGTAACATGCACAGCTCAAGATCTGACAACCACGCTAAAAAGACCTTAAACACCCTTTGAGCACCACTTTGGGTCCCGGCCTTGGGCTTCCAGGCCGCCGCCACCCTTCATGGGCGGGCCTCCTCCGCCGTATCGGTGCCCTGGGATCTCATGGCAGCTAGCGGGTTAGGGGTCTGCTGGGTAGAGAGTTCACGGTTTGGGGGTCTGGGAAGGTTGAGGGTATAGGGTTGTCGGTTGAAAACTACCAAGCTTTGGGGGATCTTCAGCAGGCTGAGTAGCAGTGGTCACAACCAGATCAAAAGTAGTAAGAGTCAGGTGAATGAAAACGGGGCGGAGTTGGTACTTACTGCTGGTCGCAATTCTACCACAGTATCAACTGTAGATCAGTGCCCAGCGTCCTCCGGCACCAGAAGTACGGGTAGTATCAGCAGTAACATGAGCAGTGAGAATGCTAGAATTATGAGGATTTATAGCGCTGTCAGGATTTCTCTGCAGGGATTAGTGCTGCGATCTCTGCGTCCGGGTCCTCGAAAGCCATGGGGCGCAGGGCATAGGGGTTAGGGAACTTTCCCAGAAATAAGCAGCTCGAGTGAGAACCGGAGCGAAAGTGATAGCATCTACCTGCACTAGTAGGCTAGTAGTAGGGAGCCTGATCTTGATAAGTAGCTAGGTTCTGTCTTGGTGAGGCCTCCCTTCGAGCGGCCCCCGCCTGGATGGTGCTGCACTCGGGCTCGAGCGCCATGTGAAGGGTTACGGCGGTTACGCTGTTTTGGGCTTCGGAACTTCGGGTGGCCTCGCGACACCAGAAATTGGTCGAGCACCCGAAGGTCTGCAATTTAGGTTTCGCCTTTTAGGTGTGGGACATGGTGGGATCGTTCAGACTGTGATGGATTCAGAGTGGTGCCTTCGCCATGTTGCCATGGCTGGCAGTTCCGGGTCAGGCCGGACTTCGGAGGCCGAAGCCGTCTCCGGACGAGCTGGGCAGCACCAATCCGAAAGTGCCAACTCTCAAAAGCGAACCCCCAAAGCCTGATCGTCAATGCGAAGCAGGTGCTGGGCGCCCGTGAACAAGCCACGTTGGAAGACCCAAGTCCCGGTCCTTCGGAGCTGCGTGGAGTGCAGTCTATTCGGAAACTTGCCATATGAAAAAAGAACTAACAAGCATGAGTTCGTCTTACCCTTCGACCTGATTCGCCTGGCATCACTTGTCCCAAGCAAGAAAGGAGGGGGATGCGCCTATGCGCCGTTCTCCAATTGCAAAGCACGGAGAAGTTCAGACGCTTGCGCCAGTTTGCAGAATATGGACGAGGGAGCAGATGAGCAGCGGACCGGAAGACCAACACAAAAGCCTTCACTGCAAAAATGCTGCAGGCGTGACGCATGGTGGGCGTATCATATCAACACCTGGCAAGAACTTGTATGGCGATGTGTTGCAAGCTGCCGGGGGGCAGTGCCTCCCCACTCCAAGACTCCAAGCCCTCCATTTTCTGCTTGAGGCCAACACCTGACGAGCTTTGCAATTGAAGGCCTGCACAATCCCCTGCCCATGGAACAAGCACCAGGCAGATGTGACCAGTTTCAACTATAACCGGGATCGGGCGAGGTTGCTTTGTATTTTTTGCATCGCCATCATGAACAGCTCCCTCCACAGCCATCCCAAAGCATCCAAGTCTCTCAAGCCATCGGTATGCTGAGGCTGGATGCGCGGCGCCCGCCCTTCGATATGCCGCCAGGAGTGAGGAGCCCAGGCAGAGACTAACTTGGTCTGCAACCATTTTGCAGACCTGCAGTGCGTGAAAGCGGCTTTTGAAAGTGACAGGTGCAGCTTGGGGTTTGGGGGTTTTTGGTTGGGGGTGATTTCGGATGGTGCCCTACTTCAGGCTGCAGTGCTCACGCAAGATGTTCTGTTTTATCGCTGAGTCTAAGGCGCGACCTCCCTTTGAGGGTGGGCCGCCACCCCACCTGCCACCGTTCGAGAGGCACGGTCGCGGATTTCTGACACTGACACGGTCTGATACAGGGAATGACAACGGCCAAGAATTCCAATGCGCCCGATGCAGAGCAGGGGGATGCACGGTACCTTGGTGTTTCGAGGTTTTGTGGGGTCGGGATCCGCCAAGTCTGATGGGTTCGGTTTGTCTTTAATCTACGGCCTGGAAGTTTCTGAAGACGGACGTTCTGGAAGCTATTGCGCAGCAGGCGCAAAGTCATGCAGCTTTGCACCTTTGCGTGCAAGACACTCCC